CGTCGCGCCCGCCGGCCCGAGCCCCGCCGGGATGGGGAGGGAGACCGCGACCGCCCGCGGCTGCGGAGATTCCTGCTGACGCCCCCGACGCCGCCGCCTCCTTCGCTGGTCTCCGGAGGTGTCCGCCTTCCCGACAGGTCCTGCAGGGAGAGCCCCGAGAGGCGACCGGACCCCGAGGCCCCGCGCTCAGGACAGGTGAGGGGAAGGAGAGCGTGCCGGAGGGCGGGGGCGGGCGGTGGGCGACCCCTGCAGCCGAAACGGGGGGCTCCTCCAGCCCCCTCCCCTCCGCTCCGCTCCAGCCTCCAGAGGAAACCTCGCGTCCTGAAGTTTGGGAAATACACCAAGTCCGCCATCAGTTCCGGACGCCTCAGTCCCTAGAGCGCAGGAAAAGCCGTGCGGGCAGCCTCCGAGGACCCGGAGTCTAGGAGCGCGCGGCTGGGCTTCTCCGAGCTACACCCTCCTTTGTTTCCATTCCAGAGAGTCAGCGTTCTCTGTAAAGATGTCCACAGCGCTCATTTATGTAGAACAAAGTGTGGTCAGGGTTTCCTAAAGCAATAGCTGTGTGTGGTAGTATTTACATAGGCAAAATGCTCTGAGGCGAAGCAATTACTTGCAAAATACAGCTCTACTCCTCTTCCTATATAATCTGTCCTTAAGAGAAAGGACCGGACTTGCACAATTTGCTTCATTAGTCATTCTTTTGTGATAATTAATTGTTCGAGCCAACACTTCACATTGGGTGGGCGCAAGCTCCCTGGGTGTATTTACTGCTCTTCGATTAAGAGGGGTGTGTGTGTGTTAGTGTGTGCGTGTGTGCGTGCACGTAATAAAAACAATTTTGTTCAATACCAGGCATTAGTAATGTTAGACAGAAAGGCAGATGCTTCACATACATGTAATTGACTAATTGGAATCAGTCCCTGTACACCTCAGTCTGGTGTATTTCAAAACGAAATATGTCCGACTCAAGTATCTCTTACCTTGTCTTTTCTTGGGAAACCCTTCAGAAGTAGTTGTGAACAACTGCATAGAAAACATTTCAAGAATCGATAAATCTTATTTGTCAGTAAGAATATTGAAGTCTTTTGGTGCTGCAGTCAAACCAAGTTCAGAGGCATATATTCTGTAGTTCTTTATGCATAAATATTACCAGGAAGCTGTTTGCTTTAATTGTTTGTCATCTCTTGCATTATGAAAACACTTATAAAATGACCTTCAGACTGTTATTTGGCTATTGATATTAGGACATATTACCATTTTGTGAAAAGTAGGCTAAACTTCGAAACTTTTTAAACCTTACTTTCTTTTCCCACTGTTTACCCATACATAAGCATCTGATTGTAGTTTCATGCTTTTCAAACAGCTCAGGTGAAGAATAGGAGTACTGAATAGAAAATAATGCTTCCATTAAGTGGAAACTATAGTAAATGCTCTAGCAATTTAATATTATGAGTTTTTTTTACTCTTAAATACGTGTACTGAGATATTAAGAATGATTTTTCTCTAACAAAGTCCTACTAGAGAGCTCATAATTATGAGATAATTTACTATAATGTGTAACCTGGTTTTAATTAGCTTTGTATCTAGGCTAGGAAAGCCTTCAGTAAATGAGAATTCTTGCAGTGGAAGTCTCAGTAATTTCCAGGCAGTTGGCACAGAAAGGTTTCACCTGTTGCTTCTGAGATCCAGGTAAATGCATGTAGTAGCCGAAAGACACCCATAATCAAAAGATTCCTGAGGAAAGATCATTGTAATGAAGGATGGCTGCACTTGTTACTTAGAGGAATTTTTAGTGAAGCTTTTGAGTGCTCTAAGAGTTTAGATTGCTATATTTGGACTTGCGTAGTTTCGGAATTTTGACAACAGCTTATTGGACAGAGAAGGATAACTACTGATATAGGGAGAGTGAATCTGAATTTATTGCTTAAATTCTCTCATGATGATTCTTAGCATAAAGGAAGCTTATATTTAGCTTAGGAAGATGGATAAGAACAAAGATAAAAGCAAATGTTACCCTTTACATTTCTTAAGCAAAATTAGTAGCAGATAAAAAAATAAAAAGTCCTCATAGTAATGCATGTTACTTATCAGAATGCAAAATTTAAAAGAGGAAGCAGTTGAAAAATAAATTTTACATAGTGTTACTCTCCCTAAATAGGAGACAGTATGGGGATTCTTTGTAAAGCAAACTCATTTTGGAAAAAGAACTGGTGCAGGGACAGTAAAACCTGCAATGAGATGGACCCTTCATTTTATTAAGGAATGTATGATTTGCAGTTTTATCAAGTGTATCCACTTGTTCCTGGACTCAAGATATGAGTTGTCCACTAAGGTCTGACATGTGACCAAGCACTCAGAGAACATCGATGAGCACTTGTGCTGTGCTGGCTGATGGACAACCATCCAGCCTCTCCTATGGGAGCTCATAGGCTGGTGGGAGGGGACTGGTAAATGTGACACAGATCACCTAGCACTTGTGATGCTCTGTGAGCATCAGGGGACTGGTGTTGACTCAGAAGTAGTATGGTAGGTTGCAAAGAGCACTGGATGGAGAGTTATCTTGACTGAGCCACTGATTACATGGCCCTGGATGAGTTCCTTGGCTTTTCTTGTCCTTGGTGCTCTCACCTACAGAATAAGGGCTTTGGACAGGTGATCTTCCCATCCTCTTTTTTAAATGCTGCAGGATGAGCTCTGGTGGAATTAAGCAGACGGAGAAATCAGAACGTGTTGGGGTGGTGGTTGCGATTTGTAGGTTTGGGTTGTAGGAAGACAGGCTGGAGGCCAAGCTATATGTAGGGAAAAGGTAATGACTATGATAATGGAAAGTAAAGGAGATCTTGCCTGGGACATTTGGCCCATCACTGATCATCTGAGTTGACAATACATAATAAAATAATAAATACCAGCTTTCACTCAGTACTTGACAATTTTTCATGAATTTTCACAAATCATGGCAATTGATTTTCATAACAACCCTCACAGGTAATTAGAGCAGAGAGGTGATGAAACCAAGACTGACACTGCAAAGCTCGTTTGCACCAGTACACTCCACTGTTTTTCTGCAGGATTTATAGAGATAGGCAAAGCTAGAGCACACTTTGGAAACCCTGGGTAAATGAGAGAGAGGTAAGGTTGGTGTAAATTTTAACAGATGTTGAATTTCTGAGTAAAACTTTAGGTTACATTTCGAAAGACAAGAGTCTTCAGTTATTAGATTGAGACCTCCTGAAATGCCTTGAAGTCTGATTATTGATATGTAGTCTGATTGCTCCTGTTCTGTGCTTCCTCCCCACCTCACCTCCTTTCCCTTCCAAGCAGGGATTCTGGGGATTTGACTTGCACAGAATCATTGATAAGATTCTTCTGAGAATTTTGAGTGCAATCGGAAAAGGAGAATATCTACATTGTACATAAGTTAAGGATTCTTGGCCATTGTACATTGATGGGATATGTTCAAGTTGTGCTTTGGAAACTTTGTCACCAGAGGAGAAATTACGCAGAAGGCATAGGAATGTAGCAAGTTGTGAAGATGTGGATCTATACAATCCCTCCTGTAGGACCCTCTTTACTCTGCCCTGAGCAGTAAGTGCGCTAAGGGTGAACAAGTCCCACTATAACCTCCCACCTTGTGTTCCCATGGAAGGAAGTTGATCAGGATTCATTTTATTTTATGTGTGGAGAGCCTACATTTAACTAGGTTAAGCAAGAAAGGATTTAGTGGTGCATGTGACTGGAAGTCCAAAGGTGAAACTTGCTTCAGTCATGGCTGACCCAGAGATTCACTCGACTTTGTCAGGGGTCTTTCTCTCTTTCCCTGTTTCTCAACTCCACTTCTTTCTGGGCCAGCTTTATTCTGAGGCCCTCTTTCTGTGTGTGGAGAAAGATGACTGTCAGTAGTTCTAAGCCTACATTCCTGGGCTTTTGATCCATAAGAAAGAGAGGCCCAGTCTCTTCTAGGACCCATTTATATAAATTTCCTTAAAGGGCTCTGATTGGCCGTGCTTGGTGGTCACTGAATCAGTCTCTATGTCTAACAGAGAGTGCTACTGTGATAGGCTTGGACTGGATCATGTGAAGGTAGAAGGAGGAGGAGGAGGGGGCTGGTAGGGCACCATGAGGGGCTGTCTGTCAAGATCACATAGAGGTATGGTTCTCCCAAGCAAACGATACTGCCAGTCAAAAACAAGATGTTACTGGGTATAATTACTTTTTCTTTTTATGGGACAGCCCCTCTGCACAATGATGTAGAGTCTGCATATGGAGGCAACTCAGGTGTCCGAGGCCATGCAAATTCTAGAAGTGGGACCTTTCTCCCAACCAAGATGATACCCAGTGGTGAAATAATGCTCCCATGTCTAGATTTTGTTGAAAGGAGAGTGGTTTCCAGAATATTATTGAATAAGGAGTCCACCATTTACCTATATCTGTGTACTTTTAGCAAACATCCCTGTGTCTTATTTCTAGCCCAAGGATTTCATTTCCAGAAGCCCTGGCCGTGTAGTGATCATAAGGTTGGAGACCCCTACTTTGGTCATTGTAGAGCCAGTGAACATTTGCACAGGGAAGTGAGGTGATGACCACAGAACTACTGTTTATGCAAATTCATTGGGTTTGTTGGAGATGGGCAGGGGGGAGCAGCAGGCACAGATCAAGGTTTTTACTTAGGAGGCATAAAATGATAGGTCCCTAATTAGAGTACTGGCAGCAAGAATGTGTGAGCAACATTATGAAAGTCTGGTGAGGCTGTATGTCAGGACAAAGGAGCATCTGTGCTGACATAAGCATTTATGGGATGGAGTGGATCAGAAGGGACCAGACTATGAAGAGAGGTTGGGCCAGTAGGTAACTGTATGTGGTGGATGTGATTGCAGCAACTGGATTGTGTAGAAAGGAGGCTTGTGGTCACTAGGAGTCCTAGGGGCATGAGTAGAACGGGCATTTATTGAGGACCTACCTAGTATGGCAGGTCCCATGTTGCATGTTTTAAATTCATTATATTATTTAAACATCATAACAGCCCTCTAAGGTGAGAACACTGAAATTTGGGAGGTAAATAATTTATGTAAGGTTATGTGGTCATTAAGTAGTACTGCTGGATTTCAAACCCTGGCAGTCTGACACTAAAGCTTGTGCTCTAACCACTATGAAATACTACTTTCCAAACCCAAGGTCAGAATCCACTGTATCAGGCC